GAGGTTCAAACCCAAACCACACCCACCTCTTCCCCTCTGGTCCCAAGCCTCTACCAAAGCTGTGGTCACAGTGTCCTTCCTCTGGGGTGGCTCTGGCACCCTGGAGTTTATTGACAGGTTCCTGTTTCCTGACTGGTCTTTCTACTGAGAGTAGATTTTCTGGTTTACTCTCCCCTGGAGAGCTGTGTGGCCCTGGGCCAGTCAATCCCTTCCCTTGGACTTCCGTTTCCTGTCTTGGCATGGCAGGGGTTGGAGCAGATGGTCCCTCCCACCCCTTCTGGCTCTTGGCATCTCAGGAAGCAGGGAAGGACCAGCTGAACATAGCATGGGGTAAGACATGAAGTAGTGACAGGGGTCTCAGATGAGACCCAGAGGCCAGTCCATCCCAGGCATCCTGTGTATGCCAGGTCCTGTGACCTGGGGTCTAAATACTTCTTACTGTTGCCTCATTTTACTCTCCCTACCATAGGACCTATTATTTATCCAATTTTCTGATGAGGGCCTGGGGCTCAAAGAGGTAAGGTAAGGTGACATCCTAGGGACACACAGCTAGCCTTCTCACCCAGATCTGCCTGGAGGAGACAGTAGGGTGAGGAGTGACACTCGCTCAGTCTGCCCTGTGGGCTGAAACAGCTGTGTATTTGCCCCACCTGGGGAGAGCTGCCTAGCCGCTCTTATGCTGCTGCTCCCACTATTCTGTCTCACCTCAACTTCATGACTGGCTCCTCCTACCTTCAGACCTACCCAGCCTTCTCCCAGGGCTGGTGTGCTTTGCAAAAGTCTGAAGTAAGGCTATACCTAGCCCTGTCCTAGGTACTGAGAGTGAGAACAGCTCCAGGACAAAGTTCCTTCTCTCAGAAGCCTAAGATCTAGCAAGGGAGATTGACAGGTAATCTTGCAGTTAAAATGCAGTGTGAGAGCTAGGTGTGGTGACGCACGCCTTTAATCCCAGCACATGGGAGGCAGAGGCAGGCGGATCTCTGAGAGTTCAAGGCCAGCCTGGTCTGCATAGTGAGTTCCAGGACAGCTGGGGCTACAGGGAGACCCTGTCTCAAAAAGACCCTTGGGGGAGGGGGGAGGCAGTGTGAGGCCTGGAGAGATGGCTCAGCAGTTAAGAGGCTGCTCTTGCAGAGGACCCTGGTTGGACTCCCAGCACCCACATAATGGCTAACAACTGTCTGTAACTCCAATTCTAGGGGATCTGATACCTTCTTCTGACCTCCATGGGCATTGTACAACACAGGTCCATCTACCTATATACAGGCAATACGCGCACACACATAAAATAAAAATAATATTTTTTTAAAATTTTAAATGCAGTGTGATATAGCTCAGGTGGTAGAGTGCTTGCTTAGCACACGTGAAGCGCTGCATAAACCTGGTGTGGTGCTGCACACCTGTAATCCTAGCACTTGGGGTGCATCAGAATTTCAAGGTCATCCTCAGCTATGTAGTGAGTTGAAGGCCAGCCTGGGCTGCTTGAGACCCTGCTTCAAAGAAAAAGAAATGCAGTGTGTGCTGCAATGGTAGACAGGCCCTGCACATGCAGAGGAGTGTCTGATGACAAGGAAGTGGAGGGAACGGGGAGCTGGGGAGGTAGACTCTCAGTGGAGGTGACTCTGACTCCACTGAGGGGGGAGGGACATGCAAATGAGCATCCTGAACAAAGGGCACAGCTTGAGCAAAGTCCTGGAGGTGAGTACCCCAAGAAACTTAGTGCTGTCTGATAGAACCTTCTAGAACACTGGAAAGTTCTTCCTCTGTACTGTCAAATGCTGTAGCTGCTAGTCTTGAGTGGCTATGGAGCACTTGAGATGAAGCCAGTAGAGCCATGGAACTGAATTCTGCGTTCTGTCTCAGTTTCATTTGTTAATGGTGTAAATAGCCCCATGGGCTGGCGGCTGGCGGCTAATAGTGCAGGTGTGGAGCAAGGGACTAGAGACTGCTGGAGCTGGTGTACGGGGCCGACTGATGCCCAATGCCTTGACCCTTCTTTCCAGACACAGAGGAAATCCTGCCCACGGTTGCCTTTCATTACGGAGCTCAGAGACCCTGATTCTTTTTGCTCTTCTGCTTTGCACTGTGTGACTTCCATCTTGACAGTCGCCTCACTGAGATGCTTGTTCTCATTCCATCCATGATGTCAGTGCATGCTCTCTAACCGCTCAAAACATGCTTCTTCCAAGTTTTTCGGTCTTCTTTCTGTTTTCATGGTTGGCTCCTCCTCATCCTTCAGCTCTCAGAGTTGCTCCTCATTGCACACTGCTTGAATCTTTTCTAGAACGTTCACCATGTTGGGCATCATCTTGCTCTGTGGTATTTTGCTCTATTATCCCCTAGACTGGAAGATCCCTGTGGGCAGGTACTGCAGCGGGCTTCTTCTCTGCTGTTTCCTGAGTCTCAACAGTGCCTGGTTTATAGTAGTTGCTCAATAAATATTTGGTGCATGAGTGAGCAATACTATGAAAGATATTGTTTTATCATGAACACCCTTGTATTGCTGCCTTGTCTGTAAAATGAGTTGCATGGGTTGTTTGCTAGGATCCTCCCTGCTCTGACAAGATGACCAAGTGGGAGGGAGATGAAAATAGGAGCCAGTGTATCAGCCTGCCTGGCACCACTCAGCTTAAACTGACTGGGGTGTCCAGGCCCTGCTCAGGGGCTGTTTCCATGGAAATTCACTCACACAACACTTCTAGGGGCTCCAGCTAGTACCAGGTCACTGCTGGGTCCAGGCTGTAGGGAGATGGAGCAGTAAGGACCCACCTTGGAGAACCCATGGGCTAATATGGGGAGGTGGGAGGGACAGACAGGAGGACACTGACTGTGGTACAAAGGCTAGGGGTTCAATAAGTGCAGACGATTAGACTGTGTTAAGGACACACACACCCCCATTCATTTATTTGACAAATAATTATCCAGGCCCTGCCATGTGCCAGCAACATTCTGGGCACTGAGGACACAGCATCAAACAAGCTGGACAAGATTCCTGCCCCTAGGAAACTCACTGTCCCAGTGAGGGAAACAAGCAACACACACACACACACACACACACACACACACACACATATATCTCATCCATGAGTCCAGTCCCTTCAGAGGAAACTCACTGTCCCAGTGAGGGAAACAAGCAACACACACACACACACACATACACACACACACATATATCTCATCCATGAGTCCAGTCCCTTCAGACAGGGTCAGCTATGAAGGCCCCGGGGCTGTGTAATAAAGGTCTCCTGTCTGCAGGATGGTCAAGCCTGACTCCACTTAATAAGTGAATGATAGGCTGGAGAGGTGGCTCAGCAGTTAAGAGCACTGACTGCTCTTGCAGAAGACCCGGGTTCGAGTCCCAGCACCCACATGGCATCTACGAACCATCCTTAAATCCGGTTCAAGGGGAATCCAAAGCCCTCTTCTGACCTCCTCGGGCATTGCATGACACGGGTGCACTCACATACATGCAGGCAATACACTCATACACATAGAACAAAAATAATAAATAATTTTAAAAAATAAGTGAATGATTCAAGTCACCGGGAGACAAGCTGACAGTGGAGAGCACTAGCTTGAAGAAACAGCAAGTATGAAGTCCCAAGGTTGGAGGGATGAGAATATGGCTCAGTGGCTTCATGTACAAAGGCCTTGAGCTCCATCCCCAGCACCACCATCAACAATGTGGCTCAAGCAAGCTCAAGATGATGGAGAGGCAGGAGGAGGTCCTTTTTACTGGATCAGAATGAGAGGAGAGGACAGTGGAGACATTGGTGGCAGAAGGGGAGGAAGGAAGGCACAGGAACTATCCACATTTTAAGCAAAGCCACTACTAATGCATTGCTGAGCCAAGTGGAACTTGAAACAGAGGAAAAGTCACAATACTGACCTAGTTTTTGGTTGGGGAGGGCATGTTTGGGTGCACAGGTATGTGTATGCGTGTAGGCCAAAGGTCAACCCAACCTCAGGTTGAAGAGTTATCTACCTTCTTTTTTGAAGCAAGGTCTCTCACTGGAACCTGGGGCTCAACTAATTAGACTAGGCTGGCTGGCCAGTGAGTCCCAGGAATCCTCTTGTTACCATTGCCAGTATTGGGATTGCAAGCATGCATCACCATACCCTGCTTTGTAAATGGATGCTAAGATGGAACTCAGGGCTTGGGCTAACCTGGCAAGCACTCTATTGACTGAGCCATCTCTCAGGACCCTGGCCTGTTTTCATTTTGAGTGGTGATATTTTTTCTATGGTGGATGGTTGTGAGTCATCTTGCGGTGTCACCGTTGTAGAAAACATGTGACCTGACTTAAAGATTGTGGGCTCCAGGATGAGGTGCCTGAGTCATTGTTTTGCTCTTACCTGCACATACTGGGCTATATGTTTGGGGCCAGGTTTTTGACCTCTCTGTACCTTTTTCTCCATCAGAAAATGGGGATAGTAGTAATACCTATCTAAGAGCTACAGAAAGGCTCTTGAGTATCAGTACCAGAAAAGGGCTAAGAGCAAGGCCTAGCCGGGTGAGCGGAGGCTATGGGCAGCTGGGAGCTGTGCTACAGCCTGAGTTTCCATCAGAGCTCCACACAAAAGCCAGCCAGTGGCTAAGGAGCAGAGTGGGGGAGTATATATGCAGAGCTTGGCATTGGAAGGACCAGACAGCCAGGCCTGGTGGCTCATACCTATAATCCTAAGTACTTAGGAGTCTGAGGCAAAAGGATTGTCACAAGTTTGGGACCAATGTGGACTACATAGTGAGTTCTGGGCCAGCTTGGACTACAGATGAGACCCTATTTCAAAATAAAAAGAGGTCTGGGGTTAAAACTCAGTGGCAGAGCTCTTGCCTTATGGACTTAGGAGACAGACTTGATAGAATGTGATGATTGAACTATAATGGGACATGGGCATTGGGGTTGGGGGTCAAGAGCAGGATAGACCCCTGCTGCTGGCAGGACTGGGCTCTCCATCAGCACAGTCTGCCCCGGCCGGGTGTGGCCTGCCCTGCCATGCAGGCCCTGTGTGTGTTTCAGAGGGAGCTGAAGGAGCAGCTTCAAGCCCTGCAGGACAGCGAGCGGGAGCACACAGAGGCACTGCAGCTGCTCAGGAGACAGCTGGCGGAGACCAAGGTGAGCCTGGCCCAGTGTAGGGGTGGGGCTGCGAAGGACAGGTCCTCTAGTCCTCTGAGGGGACCTGGCTTCCAGGGGCACAAACCTGGCAGGAGAAAGAGCGTGGGATGGGTGAGACTTCTGAGAACGCCAGTGGGGTGCAACCCACCCCAAGGCCCCAGAGGGCTTTGGGCTGGTATCTGAGTGGGGCTATTTCTCCTTGCATCTGGAAGCTGGGGTGAGACCAGGAACCTTCTAGAAACTTCTTCCCTTACTAAACAGACCTGTTGCCTGTGGAGCCAACCCTGGCATGTGCTCTCCAAGCCAGCCCTGGTGTCGTCTCCATTCTTGTAGTCGGGCCATAGAGATATAAGGACTCTGAAGCCAGGTGAAGGGGTAATCCCTGCACTGGGGAGGCTGAAACAGGAGGAGCTCTCAGTTCCAGACTGGGGTACATGGCAAAAAGGGTGGGGAGATTCAAACTCTGAAAAGTAGGACAAAACCCTGTAGTCTCTGGCTACAGCAGTTAGGAAGGAGCCTTTTATCCCTACCCCGAGAGGAGGGATGTGGGTTGTAATCCCACCACTGACTGTGCGACCTTGGGTCTTCCCATCTGTATAGTGGGGACTCTTCCCGGCTCAGTTCAGAACTCTAAGGAGTGAGGGAAAGCCCCAAGTACAGAGGGACTCCGTACAGTGACTTCAGACTGGCCCTGCTCCATTAGATGAAAGCCTCCCTAGGTGGGCAGAGCCTTGGGGTCATCCCCAGGCCTGGAGAAACCATTAGAAGCCTTCATCTTCTCCAGCATGGCCACCAACCTGCTGCGTGGTCTCGGGAGGGTCATAACACATATTTCTTCAGAGGACATTCCAGAGGAACTCTGGGTAGGACTCCTCAGTGGGCAACAAATGAGAAACAGTCCTAGGGCTGTGGCCTTATTGCTTCTCACAGCCTCAGTTTCCCCATCTGTCTGGTGACTGTGCTGCTCCCATGAAGGGAAGCCAATGGAAGTTTCTCTGCCGGGCAGGCAGGCATCTGAGGGTCTGCTCCCTGCAGTGTCTCTTGTTTGCTTCCCTTCTCCCCCACATTCCTTCTCCCCCACTGACCTCCAGCCTGCCTTTCCTGTCCATCTGTGTGCTGCTGGGGGGGGGTGGCTTCCCTCCCCTTCCCCGGCCCCACTTCCTGTCTGGACTGCTGTATTTATATAAGAAATGCTGACAGAGGTTTTCAGACCATATTTCACCTGGTGCCTGACTGGCTTTCTTGCAGCGCCTGCCCTCCAATGGCCCTGCCGGGGGGCCTGTCTGGTCTCCCTCCTCCAGCCCCATGTTTTTCTTGGTATACCCAGAGACATGACACGTTCTTGGCAGGGTGTTTTCTGAAAGGGCCACAGCTGCCCCAAACCCAGTATATAGCAGGGGATGTGGCAGGCTGGGCTGGGCGGCCTTCCCCACGAAGGAACCAAAATGAAGGGCAAGGCAGTAGTTCTGCTTAGAATTCACTGGAGGAGGGTCAGCAAGATGTCTTAGCAGGTAAAGGTGCTTGCTGCCAAGCCTGAAAACCCAAGTTCAATCCCTGGGACCCACAAGGCAAGAGAGAACCGACTCCCACAGATTGTCCTCTACCTTCATACATGTGCTGTGACACACGTATGTGTGCAGGAGTATACACACACACACACACACACACACACACACATGATAGGTAAAAATGTAATAAAAATTTAAAAGGCACTAGATTAAAGAGGACACACAAATTGAGTTCAACTTTATTTACAAAGCGGTGTCCTCTTCATTGTCACTTTCATGACAGGTGTCATTATCACAACAGTAGAAGTCCCCAGACCCAGCGGTGTCTGACCCACAATTAGTAAATGTGGAGCAAGTGGGTAAAAATACCAACAAAACACTTTTGCGGTGGAACTACTATCCCAGTCTTGTAAGTGAGGAAACTGGCAGAGCAAGGCAGACGACCAGCCTGAGGCTCCATCCGTAGCTAGTTAGTGGCAAATGGGGAGTTTACTGTCTGGTTCTGTCAAAACTCAGCGCATTTTCCAGCCTCACAGTGGGATGCCTCCTGAGGTCTTTTCAGCAAGATGTATGGCTCTGTGTGTGGCAAACTGGGAGGACCCATGAGGGTCATGATGCCAACTCCTGGGCTGTCACTCTGCCACCTCCTAGCTGCCCCCTCCCTTCCTCCCGCTGGGGACACCGGACCCCTATCTTGGAAAGGAAATGGAGTCTGCACCCAGGTTTGCGGTGCAGTCTTGAGTAAGACCCTCCCTCTCTCCCCTGCTCCACCATTCAAGCAGCTCCTGACTGCCAGGCCAAGGATGGGCATGGGGACAGGGACAGGGAACCTGCCATTCCCACCCAGGAAGGGCTTATGCACTAGCTAGGGAGACATACTGTGGGGGACAGTAGACGAAGACTGCTTACAAAGGCTCTAGGATACCTAACTCACTGGAAAAGTGGAAGTCTGTCAGGGGAGGAGAGTTTCTCCTGCCCCCGCTGGATCTTGGGGAGGTACAGCAACAGACATGGGAAGCAAGCCAGGACTCCCCATCAGCAACCAGTGGCCAGTGGGTGAATGATCCTGCAGAACAGTCTAGCAAGAGCCAGACAGGGTGACCTGGGACTTAGGGGCCCTTGGCAGATTGTTCTATAGGATGTAGGGAGGTGAACTCCATCCCTCTATCAGCACAGCCTCACCTTCTCTGGGCGAGGGGCTCCAGGAGGCCTCTAGCAGCCCGGCCCTTCCACCCCCTCTTTGTCTGCCTGGCGTGCTGGGTGGGCATGCGCAAGGAGGCTGGCCTGCTGCCAGCTGTTCTTCCTGCAGGCCAGCGGCCACCACAGGAGAGAACAGGCCCTAATTGAGCCTTTGTGGAGCCTCCCACAGAGCCCCGGGCACTGAATACAGTGGGGTCTCTGACTCCATGAACTGCCAGCCAGAGGCCTGCAAAGTGAAATTACAGAGGCAGGCTCCATATGCTGCCATATCCTATGTCTCCTGATTCTCAGTTTCTACAGGCTGCTCCCTCTGCCTGCCCCACCCCCATGCCTAACTGACACCCTCCCCATCCCAAGAGCCTGCTCATAGCCACCTCTCCATGTGGACTCCCTGGGTGTCCTAGCTTGTTTCTTCATTGCTGTGACAAAACACTCTGACCACTACCAACTTGGGGAGGAAAGGGTTTATTTCATCTTACATCTCCTGGGTCATAGTTCGTCAGGGAGCCCAAGGTAGGAACTCAGGGCAGGAACCTGGAGGCAGGAGCTGGAGCACAGGCCATGGAGGAACACTGCTTACTGACTTGCTCCCCAGGCCCCTGCTCAGTCTGCTTTCTTATGCAACACAGGCCCACCTTCCCAGGGGTGGCATCACCCACATCAACAATCAAGAAGGTGCCCCATGGACATGGCCACAGGCCAGTCCAATGAAGGAAATTCCACAGTTGAGGCTCCCGCAACCCAGGTGTGTCAAGTTGACACTGAAGCTGTCCGGCACGCTGGGCATGCCTGTTAGAACCCATCCCTTTGCTATAACAAGACTCTTCCTCTGTATCTGGGACCACGACACTTATTTACCACATATTACCACATCCTGCATTGTGGCTTCTGTGACCCTTCTCCCAGATAGGAAAACTGAGGTGCATGGAGCTCAGGCCATTGAGGTCACCACAGCTAGAAACCTGAGCTGGGCCCTTTCTCAGCCTTCCTGGCTGCCCTGTACTCTTCATTCCTCCTCATCCTCTTGGACCTTGAGGCAGGCAAGGCCTCTTAGGTACATGCTGACCTCCCCTAATAATAGCCTTGTTCTTAGGGTGGGGGACTTAGGGAGAGCAAATAGGCAAGTAAATACCAAGGTTTGCTCAGCAACTTATGGTTTATGTAGGTCTCAAACCTCCATGATCCCCCTTGTCATTGCCCCTTGAGTTCTATAGATGAGTTGTTCAAAATACAGACTTCACTGAGTCCCAGATTGAACACAGCACACACACACACACACACACACACACACACACACACACACGCACATCAGCTTCCCTTCCCTCCTACCCTCATGCCAGAAATCTGGGCAGTATCTTTCAGTCCTGAGCTCTGCAGCATCGTTGGTTTCCCTGGACCATTAGTTTCCTGATGGGCTGCACAGACCCCTCTCATCACCTTGCTTGTCTGTGTGCCATCCCTGGCCAAACAGGCCTTTCCCACCCTCTCTTTCCTGGTGTTGAGGCTCTCGGCTGACCCCTTCTCACTGCCAACTGAACACACTGAGTCCCACCCACACAGGCCCATAGCCCCTCACGGCTCTTCATCCCACAGTCTTCCACCAAGAGCCTGCGGACCACCATTGGGGAGGCCTTTGAGCGGCTGCACCGGCTACTACGTGAGCGGCAGAAGGCCATGCTGGAGGAACTGGAGGCAGACACAGCCCGCTCGCTGACTGACATCGAGCAAAAAGTGCAGCGCTACAGCCAGCAGCTGCGCAAAGTGCAAGAGGGCGCCCAGATCCTGCAGGAGCGGCTGGCTGAGACCGACCGCCACACCTTTCTTGCCGGAGTGGCCTCCCTGTCCGAGAGGTAAGTACCACCTGCCTACAGCCTTCCTCAAGTGCCCTTCCCAACCCGTGAGAAGCTGTGGAGGTGCGGGAAGATGGGGCTGTCAGCAGAGGAGTCATCCAATCACATTTTCATCAATCATTTATAGGAATCCACTATAAATGTGCCAGAGCCTGAGCCTTTACGTATTTATATTATTCTTTGTGTAATATATTCTGTCTGAGCTGCATGTGGTGCTCACTCTGTAATTGCAACTCTGAGGAGGCTAAGGCAGAACGTTCATCACAGGTTTGAGGCAAACCTGGCTACAGTGAGTGCCAGGCCAGCCTAGGCTACAGAGTGAGATCCTTGCTGAAAATTATGTTCTATATAACACTATAAGCAATATTAATGATGTTTGTAGTAAAATACTTTGTATTTTATCTGACCTATACATTTTATACTAGTGTGTATGCATGTTCTTATGTGTGCATTTTCACATATGTGCATGGATGTGAAAGCCACAGGCCTTAGCTGTCATTCTTCAAGCGCTGCCCATCTTAAGGTTTTTTTTAAAATATTTTATTTATTATTCTCATTCTATGTGTATGAGTACATTGCCTGCATGCATGCAAATGAAGTGCCTATGGAGGTCAGAAGGGGGCATCGGGTCCCCTGGAACTGGAGCAACGGACCATCACTAGCTGCCATGTGGGTACTGGGAACCAAACCTGGGTGCTCTGCAAGAACAACCAGTGCTTTTAACCACTGAACCATCTCTCTGGCCCTGGAGTGTTTTATTTTTTTATGCATATGTATGTGTATGTCTGTTTGAGTGTATGCTGTGTGTATACAGGTGCACACAGAGGCTAGAAGAGGGCATCAGATGTCCTGGAGCTAGAGTTACAGGCAATTGTGAGTCACCAGATGTGGGTCATGGAAGCCAAACTTGGGTCTTCTGGAAGAGCAGTAAGTGCTCTGAACCTTTTATACATCTTTCCAGCCTCTACCTTGTTTTTTTGAGACAAAATCTCTCTAACCTGGAACTCTCCAAGTATGCTACATTGGCTGGCCAGGGAGTACCAGGGATCTTCCTGCCTCTACTTCCCCAGCACTGAGATCACAAGTGTGGGCTATCACTCCTGGCTTTTTTTAACATGAATTCTTGGGATCAAACTCAAGTCCTCATGCTTGCAAGGCAGGCACTTTGCCACTGAGCTATCTCAGCCCCTTGTTTATAATGTTGACACTATATCACAAACCTTACATTGTTATTATTATTCTACTACTACCACTACTACCACCACCTCCTCAGTCTCCTGTAAGGAGTTACAACATTGTCATCCTATTTCACAAGTGCAGAAACTGAGGCTCAGAGAAGTCAGATCAATTGGTCAAGACCCCTCAGGCAGGTGATGGAGCCAGGATTCAAGCCAAGACTTCACCCTAAATCTCCCTTTTGTGACAGTACTTAGTATTGGTTTGTTGGAGATCAACACTGATCACTAACTTCATGTGTTTGGTGTTGGCCATCAGCCAGGCACCGAGGTAAAGTATTTTTTACATGTGACTCCTTGCAATTCTCACAAACCTAAAAAGGCAGGGGCTAGCACAGTATCCTTTTGCACTTGATTTTGACCAGGAGACTGAGATGAGAAGCAATTGCACAGTACCCGTTTTTTTTTTTTTTTTTTTTTTTTGAGACAGGGTCTCCCTGTAGCCCCAGCTGTTCTGGAACTCACTATGTAGACCAGGCTGGCCTTGAACTCACAGAGATCTGCCTGCCTCTGCCTCCCAAGTGCTAGGACTACAGGCGTGTGCCACCATGCCCAGCTCATACCCATTTTTAAAAAAGATTTTATTATTTTTACTTTACATGTATGAGTGTATTGCCTGCATGTATGTAAGTGCATCCACGTTGTGCAATGCCACAGAGGCCAGAAGAGGGCCTCAGATCCCTGGAACTGGAGTTATGGACAGTTGACAGCTGCCATGTGGGTACTGGAAATCAAACCTGGGTCCTCTGCAAGAGCAGCCAGTGCTCTTAACCACTGAGCGGTCTCTCCAGCCTCCACATTACCCATTTTACAGATGAGCAAACTAAAGGTAACAGAGAGGTCAGAAGTGACACAAACAGGCACTTGCATCTCAGTCCCATAAGCATCTCACTCTCACCCTCACCCTTTATCAGCTGCCCTGGAGGTGGCTACAGGGCCCAGCCTGGGAGCAGGAGCCCAGTCCCCAGTGCAGCCTTCTTTTCTGCTGTTCTTCTAGACTCAAAGGGAAAATCCATGAGACCAATCTGACATATGAAGACTTTCCGACCTCCAAGTACACTGGCCCCCTGCAATACACCATCTGGAAATCCCTGTTCCAGGACATCCACCCAGGTGAGGTTCTGCCTGCCCTCCCAGAGAGTCCAGGAGGAGCATGGGTTGCCATGGGTGGACCAGATTGGGGAGGTAGCAGGACAGGATGTGGACAGAGTATCTGCTGATGTTACACGTGATCCATAAATGCTTTCCATTACCGTAGTCCCCTCAGCTCCCATAGATATTTTCCACAGTCATCCTTGTGTGGAATCAGAGGCTCTGGGCTAGAGCAAGTGGATGGATCATCTGCTGAGCCCCAGAGCCTGTGCTGAGCTCACTGAATCTCCAGAGAACCCCACAGGGCAGGTTCCATTACTATGCCCGTTCTCTAGGTAGGGCACAGATATTCCTCCACTGATACCTGTTGTGAGCCACTGTGTAGGCTGAGGCTCAGAGAGGCTCATTCCCTGAGGCTCAGGGTGCTCTGGAAGCTCCCTTCCTAGGGTACCACCTACCCCATCCCTGTCACAGCTCGGAGAGGCACTCTAGATGCCTCAACCAGGGAATCAAAGCCCTCCAAGATACCACACTCAGCCGTACTGAGCCATATTCAGGTTGTGAGCAAGCCACATTCCCCCTTCACACATTTTGCATGCTGTTCCTTCTGTCTGGTGGCCTTGGCACCATCCTCAGCAATTGATATCCCACATTCACTGTCCTTTATATGTTGGATTTTAAACACCTCCTCTGAAAAGCCTTTCTGGGTTTCTCCAGGTATCCTTGGGCTTTTCTGATCCCACTGTTTGATCATAGAGTCTGTCGGTCTCTCTCTCTCTCTCTCTGGACCAAGAGGTATGAGAGGGCAGGCGCTGAGTCCAATTCATCCCCAGTCGCCTGCAGTCAGTGTTTATTGAGGTATGAAGAACAGATTCTGACCCCAGGTCTACCTCAAGAATAGTACCTAGCATGTGCAGCAGGTACTCAATAACTGTTGAACAAGGGACGTACTGGCAGCAGGGCCTTGGACACGCCCTTTCCTCCTCTGAGCCTCAGTTTCCTCCTCTGAATGACAGGGATGGCAGTGTTCCTTTTTGCCTTCCTCACAGGTGAGCACATATTTGCTCCAAGCAGTATTTCTCAGTCTCTGGACCACTGACCCAGGAGGCTGTCTTCTATACAGAAGGCCACTAGCAGCATCCTCAGCCTCTATCCCTTAGATACCAGTATCCCCTCTCCTCAGTTTTAGCAACCAAAAGTGCTCTGGACATCACCAAATGTTCCTTTGGAAGCATAGTTACCTCCTTTGAGACCACAGGCCCAGAGAACACTGTTTGCAAAGGGACTGAGGAAGCAGGTGTGTGACCTGAGCATCCTGCCCTGAGCAAAAGCCCCTGGGACTTCAGGCAACAGTGACCTGGTTGGCTGGGTCCCTTCTTTGTCTGTGGGGCCTGTGGAGTCACTCTGGTTCTGTGAGCACCAGAGCCTTTTATGTCCAGATGGGAGGGCTGCCTTCCCCAGAGACCTAGCGGTGGTTTCTAGCAGCTTCCTGCCTGTCCCTCCCCTAACAGCTTCCTATTGGGTCACTTGAGCACCCATCTAACACCTGTCGCCCTTCTGTCCCGGAGCTCCCACTCTCCACCACCTCCCACCCCCTGCCCCCATGCCCGAGGCCTCCTCCAACCCTGCCTAATCACCCAGCTCCCAGGCACAGACTTCCCAGTAGCCCAGGCAGCTCATTGTCCCAAGGACACCAGATACCGGTCTCTCTCTTCTTAGCCTCCCCAACCTGGGCCAGCCTCTCCACATCCCTGCTCATCTGGTTGTAATCATTTTGAGTCCCAGCCTGTTCTCTGCCTAGCTATGTGATCCAAAGCAAGGCACTCCAACCTCAGCCTCAGTTTGCTCACCTCCACCTTCAGATGGTCCTGTTTATTGCCCAGAGTGGATATGATTTCTTTGTAAGTATGATCCTGTAGCTGGGTGTGGTGGTACATGCCTTTAATCCCAGCACTTGGGAGGCAAGTGCAGGCTGATCTCTGTGAGTTCAAGGCCAGTCTGGTCTACATAGTTCCTGGCCAGCTGGGGCTACAGGGAGACCCTGTCTCAAAAAGACCAAAAAAAAAAACCACAGAAAATCCTCCGTTAGCTGGGCATGGTGGCACATGCCTTTAGTTCCAGCACTAGAGGCAGAGGCAAGCAGATCTTTATAAATTCAAGGCCAGCCTGGTCTACATAGTGAGTTCCAGGTGAGCTGGAGCTACAAGGAAACCTTATCTCTAAAAAAAAAGAATGATCCTGTAACTTAGTAAGCACTTTTTACTACTGGTTATTATCATCAATCATCAGACTCTTCCTCTGTCTTGCTGGGACAGACTTTCTGGGGCCACCTGATAAAGGACACCATGTAAAAAGAGTCAGCTCATGTTCTAACTCAGTTTTCACCCCAAGTGGAACCTAAGCAAGTCACTTAATTCAGAGAGCCTCAGTTTCATCTTCTGAAAAATGGCTACCATCATTTGTGACCCAGGCTCTGCCAAAGTGCTCCCTGGAGTGATGCCTGCTCAGTGTAGGGACTGTGAACAGAAGTACAGGGCAGTGAGGGATTAGGAGGAGGGAGGCCTGAAGGACCAGGTTTTTTTTTAAAGGTCAGGCTGGAAAAAGAGCTGACACATTTCCTGCCTCGTGTCAGACCTCTGGTGTCCTGGGGAACAAAGAAACACAGACTATTGGCTGCCAGCTTTGAGTGCCAAGGTCTCAGAGAGGTTTCAAGGACTCAGAACACATCTGAAGACCAGCCACCTGCAGCCCAGCCTTTTGTTTCTAAATCAAGAGTCACAGCTAGAAATTAACTCTGACCTGTAAAGCTGTGAGCTCAGAGACCCACCTTGGTTTCACTGGGTCTGTTGCTCTCTTGATAGCACAGACTAGGCTTCTTAGAGATGGAGAAAGGAAGCTGCCACGCCCCCTTCCTGCTTCTTCTGGGCTATTACTGGTCTTGACAGCTTCAGGGAGGGTGCTGAAAGGCCTGGATATGGGACCCTCTGTTAAAAATACGATGGGGGTCCGGGCGTGGTGGCACACACCTTTAATTCCAGCACTCAGGAGGCAGAGGTAGGCAGATCTCTGTGAGTTCGAGGCCAGCCTGGTCTCCATAGCAGGACAGCTAGGGCTACAGAGAGACCCTGTCTCAAAAAGAAAAAAAAAAAAAAAAAAAAAAAAACGATGGGAGGGTTTTTCTTAACTTCACCCTCTGGACTGCAAAAGACCACTCAGAGTCAGGCCATACCCTTTGCCTTAGGAGAGACTGCCAGGCTCTGCCCTAGTCTGGCCCTTTGGGAAGCCCCCCCGCCCCTGGGCGGTGGGGGGTTGGGGGGTGGGTAGGAATCAGGTCCTGCACAGAAAGTAGACTCAGGACTTAGCAGGATCAGGATTTCCTCTTCCTGCAGGCTCCTTTCTGACACCCTGACCTCAGTACCTCCCTGGCTATCTCCTAGAACTCTTTCCTCTCAGCAGAAGCTCTGGAAGTGGCCCATGATGCCCTACATAGGCTTAAGAGTCCTCATCATGCTGTTTGCCAGTCTCCCCTGGACCCTGCGTATGCATGTTACTGGCCTCCTCACAACAGCGTGGGCACCTGGGATAAAGGAGTCCGGCACTCCAGACCGCTGCTGTTCTCTCCCTGACCCTAAGCACACACATGCCTGACTCAACCCACTGCTTGTAGTGTTAGTGCCATCTGTATCTGATCAGGTTCTTACATACACATGCATGCACTCGCGCGCACTCACACATGCACACATGCGCACACACACACACACACACACACACTTTCTTCCACTCCTTCCTCCCCCTTTGGGAATTCTCCACAATGCACAGGGCAGGAACTTTTTGTTCTGACCAACTAACTACCCAGTGACTGCCAGAATACAAGCAAAGGTTCATGTGCAGACTTACTGGCTCCCGTTTCTATGTCCCTGGATCGAGGATTGTTCCGTGGGCCTCTGTTCCCAGGACTCCTGGTTCCTATGCAGCCCTCTTTCTGAGTTCTGAGGACAAGAGAGAAGGGTGAACTGTAGAATTAAGTTACTCCTGACCCTGCTCATGGAAGGAGCTTCATGCAGGTCAGCAGCCAGCCCGTTAGGAACCTGTGAACAGAAGCACAGTGTACATACTGGCGGTGGCAGCCTAGAGGGCAGTCACCAGCTTTAAGGTAGCTTGTTTCTCTGCATATATATAGTCCATAGAGGCACCAAGGATGTAGCAGTGCTCCAGGCCAGAGCTAGTGTGTCCCTGCTCCAGCTGATAAGGAAAGAGAATGGGGGAAGTCCTTGGCCCTGAGGACATGGCAGGAACCTGTCGCTTCCTCCTTCTCCTTCTCCCCTCTGTCTGGCTCTGGCCTGAAAATAGCCACCCAACACCAATCCCAGGTTCCCTATGCCCCTCTAGACATTGTCAGAATAAACAGGAGGAGTAAACAGAAGTCTTGACAAGAGTTCAGGAGGTTTTTCAGATCAGACCTGCTCAGCCAGTATGGCCAGCCTGTACCACTTTCTCAACACACTCAGGGGCAAGTACATCTGTATGTCTAGAAGCCTGCCAGGTCCTGTGCTAGGTACTGTAAAAAGAGAGCTGTTCACCAAGACACAGGCCTTGACCTCTGGGTGCAAAGCGGATGAGACAGGAGTTTAGAAGATTGTGCCCTGTGTAGGAGAGCAGCACAGACAGCTCGGGAAGTTCAGAGGCTACAGGAAGGAACCAACAAGGTCCCCAGGAGACCTCCCAGAGGACATGCCTTTGAATTGAGCCTTGTGGGGGCAACTGCAGCAGGGAAGATATGTGGGGGAACAGTATGAGCAAAAGATTTCTGCCTGAATGAAAAGCTTGCCTATAGCCAGGCACCTTGAATAATCCCAGCTCTGCCAGCATCTGTTGACCTGAAATTAGTCAGTGTCCTCTCTTGGTCTCAATTTTCCAATCTTTCAAATGGAAGGGTTAATTTAGGATTAAATTTTTAGGCATTTTGGATCTATTATTTTTTGAAACAGGGTCTCTTTGTAGCCCCATCTGGCCTAGAACTCACTATGTAGACCAGGCTGGCCTCAATCTCACAGAGATTGACCTATCTCTGCCTCTTGAGTACTGGGGTTAAAGATGCTGAAAAAGACTTTAATTTTATTTGTAATTATGTTTATGTGTCGGTGTCTGGGTTGTGCACATGAGCAGAGTACCAATAGAGGTCAGAGGCATTGGGTCCTCTGGATCTGGAGTTCTAGGCGGTTTTTTCTTCTTTTTTATTTTTGCCTAACAGATCAAAACTGAGGATTGAATTCAGGTCCTCTGTAAAAGCCATACACACTCTTAACCACTGAGCCACCTCACCAGCCCTTATCTGTTTTTTTAAAATAACAAGTAAATTGTAAAATCTCAGAGATCATATAAACTTTTCAATGTGTGAATGTATAACAACTATAATATAAAGGAAAAATAGAAGGAAGATATTTATAATAGAACTTTTTTTGGTCTTCTTAAAGATTTTTATTTATTATATTTTATGTGTCTGGTATATTGCCTACGTGTATGTGAGTGCACCATGTCATGCAATGCCACGGGGGTCAGAAGAGGGCATTGTATTCCCCTAGAATTAAAGATGGTTCATAGGCACCATGTGGGTGCTAGGAATCAAACCCGGGTCCTCTGCAAGAGCAATCAGTGCTCTTAACTGCTGAGCCATCTCTCCTAATTGAACTTTTTTAAAGACAGGGTCTCATGTAGCCCAGGCTAGCCTAGAACTCACTATGTAGCTGAGGATGACTTCAAGCTTCTGCCTCTCCTGTTTCTACCTCCTGAGTGCTAGGATTAAAGGCATGTGTCACCACACCTTCCTGGTTTTATGATGTGCTGGGGATCAAACCCAGGGTTTTGCACATGGTTGGCAGGCACTTTGCCAACTGAGCCGCATTCCCAGCCCATAATTAAACATTCTGAAAGCTAGTATGCACAGCTTATTCAGAACTACACTGGAAAGCATAACAAAGCAGTCTGCTGCTCACACTGTAGTTGAAACACCGTTCAAGAGCTTGTATCAGTCAGTGGTGTCGTCCTTAGAGATGAATTTTCCCAGAAGCAAACAATCCTTAGTGGAGTTCTAAATGACAGCCACAATAGAATTCAGCCTTCCTAGTGTGGTAAGTGCATTTCAAAATCTTCAGTGTATACTAAAATTGCAAAAAGGATGTCATGTTTATACGTAACTTGGAGTTCTGTTGTACTTTCAGAGCAGAATAAAAAAGATTTTTCACCCACACAAATGTCTGGCTGGACATGTGGAATTCCCTGCTGGAGGTGGCGCAGTCCCTTCCTGAGGCAGGCCTGCCAGGTGCCTTTAGCAGCTGAGAAGCCCGCCCACTCAGGATAGAGACTACCTCCACAAATTTCCACATCACCCTCTAGGGGGCAGTAGCACCTGACTAATCTTTATGCTCCTCCCTGCTCTCAAAGTCTCTCAATTCCCGACCTCTTCTGTTACCTGTACAAACATCTGTGGAGCATCCACTGGGTGCTTTACACTGGGAGTCAGCCAGTGACCATGTAGCCATCAGCTACTCCGCTGCAGCCCAGTGTAAAGCCGGTAGGCCTTAGCCAGATCGTTCCATTTTGCTGAGGAGGAGGAAAAGGCAGTCAACAGGGCAGACTTAATTTTAGGGTCACACAGTAGGTCAGTAGCCTCCTAGGGCTCAACCAAGACCCTGTCCTCAGGGAGGCACCAAATGGGATCCACAGCCTTCAATCCATTGATCTTTCTCTCCTCCACCAGTGCCAGCTGCTCTGACCCTGGACCCAGGCACAGCCCACCAGCGCCTGATCCTGTCCGATGACTGCACCATTGTGGCTTATGGGAACCTGCACCCACAGCCACTGCAGGACTCACCAAAGCGCTTCGATGTGGAGGTGTCAGTGCTGGGCTCTGAGGCCTTCGGTAGTGGAGTTCACTACTGGGAGGTGGTGGTGGCAGAGAAAACCCAGTGGGTGATCGGGTTGGCCCACGAGGCCGCCAGCCGCAAGGGCAGCATCCAGATCCAGCCTAGCCGTGGCTTCTACTGCATCGTCATGCATGATGGCAACCAGTACAGCGCATGCACAGAGCCCTGGACGAGGCTCAACGTCCGTGACAAGCTTGACAAGGTGGGTGTCTTCCTGGATTATGACCAGGGCCTGCTCATCTTCTACAACGCTGATGACATGTCCTGGCTCTATACCTTCCGTGAGAAGTTCCCTGGTAAGCTCTGCTCCTACTTCAGCCCTGGCCAGAGCCATGCCAATGGCAAGAACGTCCAGCCACTGCGGATCAACACTGTCCGAATCTAGTCCAAGCCGAGGGGAACCGAAGCCTCCTGGGGCTTTGACCATACAGCAAGAGCTCTGCCCAGCAGACAGGAGCCCTGGACTCGGGCCCACCATGACCATCCTAAGACCTCAGGCCAGTTGTTTATCCCCCAGCCTCCTCTGCCCTGTCTGTGAGCTGGAAGTTGTGCCCTGTGGTTCTTAAACTAAATGTTCTGTAGCTTTGACGTTGATGGGATGTGACGTGGCTTCTCCTCAGGGAAGCCCCTGCCCAGCGCTCATCGCCATTCTCTAGGAGGGCAGGGGATTACCTCCCTCTGCCTCCCTCCTTAAGCTCAGCTCTCCTAACCTCATGACGTATCAGATGTGGTCATTGGCTAGTAGTCCAAAAGATGTACAGAATCTCTTATACTCCTGGCCTAAGACTCGACTCACCCTTGACCAAGAGAGTGATGGGCCATTTTACCCTTGACCCAAGTCCATGAGGGAACCAGCCAGGAGCCAGTCCTAGGGTTGTCTACGATCCACCCTCTTCTGCCACGCCCCTACCAAGGACTGTGGGTTTCCTCTTCACACCTGTGAAAGATACCCAGTAGTTGAGTCCACATGTTACAGTCACCGTACATACACTACCTTCCAGCCCCATAGCCTTGGGGCAGATAAGGCATAAGGATCCCAGAAGCTGATGTAGAGCACTTGCAGGACAAGCAGCAATGGATAATCCGGGTCCCTGGCAGCTCCAGGAACAGAGATTCAGCCAGCTCTTACCAACCAAGCCAGGCTTCTGTGACTTGCTAGGGCTTCAGAGAGGGTGCTGGTACTGGTAGCAACTGTTTACATCAGGGCCTGCGCTCCAGGAAGGACTATTGGTGGGGGGCCACCTTTGGTCTCGGCATCTGGCTCCCTTAGGATCCTGCTGCAGAAGAGCTGGCTTCATTAAACAAGGATTTATGATCAGCTCCCTGGTGACTTTCAAGATCTTTGGAACAGCTGGAGGAGAGCCTTTGCTAAGTTTCCAGGAAAACAATTCCCAGCTGACAGATTCATCATGTCTTGACCCGAATCTGTTTCCATCTGCAAGGGGAGCCACGGCAAGAGCTGCCGACTGTGGAACTGTCCCCTCTGCCACCATCTGTGCCAGCAAGTGGCTGTCCTGATCCTGCCACTCTCTCTCTTAACTCAGGTCCCAAACCCACATCTTTAAGGGGGATTCTGTTTGTAGAAACTTGAGTCAAATCCCAAACTTTGACTGCAAGAGAATCTGGGAAATGGAGTTTTCCTCTTTCCAGCTTCAGCCATACAGAAAGTTAGCATAGAGGTGGAACAAGCCCATCTATCAGGTTTTTTTTTGCCACGGCATCCAACTGTGAAGAACTCAGGAGGACAATCCAGGAATCCACCTGGAAGCCTTGGCTTTGTAGCAACACAGCTGGAGATGTCCTGCTCCATAGCTGTGTCCCTGCCTGCTGCTGCCCAGAGGCAACATCCTAAGGAGTTGGCCTAAAAGGTGGCTCCCCGCCTTGGCCTCCCTTTGTAGTCCTGGTACCTCCATTCTGTTCTTGGGGTTCTGTGAGCACGCCCAGCTCTAAGGAGCCAGAATGGCAGTACTTGGGTGTAGTTGCGGGGGGGCTCCCACTTACAACTGCCACACACTGGGGTCTCCTTGAGCCCCACCCACCCCCCTCAATTCCAGACTCTGGGCCAATCCCAACAGTATTTTTATTTAAAACATTACCCATTTTGTGTGTTATGATCAATTTGTATTAAATTAAAGTTACAGGATGCCAGTGTCAGTGCCATTCATTCTGATGAACACGAAAGCTTCCTGTTCCACCCCCAGCAGGGGACACCATTAGCATAGCTGGTTCCCAAGGCAGCCTTGATGAATAAATCATATACTGCTGGTTCTTAGAGGGGGACAGCAAGATCCAGAGAAAAGGCATGACAGCTGAGAGTCCCAGGACCTGCTCTGGACAGTGAGGACTGTGTTCTAGGCCAACACCCACAGCACAGCCTTGCCAAGACATTCAACAGCCAGAGAAGATCATGTCTTTGCCTAGAGCAGAGTTGGGTAGACTTGGGAGCAGAAAAGGGGAGCTAACAGGACCGTGGCAAGAGCCTGGTGTCTTAAGCTGTACAAGCCTGGGTTCAAGGCCAGGCTACCCTATGGTATCTTGACTTTAGAAAACAATGACTTAACCTCTCAGGGCCTCATTGCTCCCCTCGGAGAATGGGGATAATAGCGCAAACGTCACATGTTATTGGAAGCAAGTACACTCAGGGAGGCCCTGCCTCTCCACGGTCTCCTAGAGTCAGTACCTGGAGCTGCAAAGATTTTCTAAACCTTTGTGCTTCCTCTACCCTTCCTCCTTGTGCCCTCAGGGGTATGGAACCAGGTAAATAGCAAAGTCCTCAAGCTGCTATGGAGAAGGAAGTTCATCCTACCTCCAACTGATAGAGAAGCATCCCAGCCAAGGGTCCAGCAGGATCCTGCCCTTGGGCAAACAGGCTGTGCACAGGAAGTCTTCCTGACCCTCCGGAGGCTGTGTGATGTAGAAGCAGGAGTCCAGAGTCTTTTCATTGTCTCGTTCCACCTTGAAGAGCCATTCCACCCTCTCCTCACTTGCAGGACGAGTGAGGTTAGACTGGGTGTTGAGACACTAGCTAGGTGGGTCTTCATCTATAGCCTGGAGGTGAGGAGGTTAGAGAGGGAGGGACCCACACCAGGCCCAGGGCTTGTTTGAGTTTCTATGGGGGTAAGGGGAGAGAGAGAGAGAGAGAAAGAGAATATAAGAGATTATCAGCGTGACACCAAGAACTCCACACTTAACACAGTTGAGAGGGGAGAGAAAGGCAGCCCAGCTTTGGCAAGGATGGAGGAGGGACCAACATAGATCTTATCCATGGCAAGATAAGATTGATTTCCAGGACTGGTTGATGGGAACCCCTCCCTGAGTCCCTGTATGCTGTCCACATGCAAAGTGCTGGTACTTGTAAAACTATTTAACCACAGAGAGGAACCCATGAGAATAGTGTCATTATCTGGGTGTTAGAGTCAGGGAGCAGCGCTGCCCAGGGGACTCACAGCTATTCCTCAGCAGAACTAGAAGCAGGTCCTTCCAAAGATAAAACCATACTCTCCACTGGACATCTCTGGAAACTCTTCTTAACTTTGAAGACTGGTCAGTGCACCAGAACTGGGACCCCTGGGCTTCAGAGAGGGAGCTTAAACCAGCCACTGTGCAACCATGAATCGCATCTCATAAGCAAACTTCTTGAGTCTTCATGGTTCAAAGGTGGACTCATGCAGACCCTGTGTGACCTTGAGCAGGCTCCTCACTCTCACTGGGACTCGGTTCCCCCATGTCTACTGGAGAGAGCTTAGGGGTCTACTTGATTACCAGAGTAAGTGGAATGCCGGCTCTCACAGCCTGGCCCACTCAGTTTCTAATAAGGCCATTATCTCTGGTCTGTCTCTAGGGTGGTGGCAGAGACAGAAAACAACAGCGATAAGGTCTCTTGGCAGCACCGAGCTCACCTCAGGGGCTCTAGGGGAGGGACAAGCCTTTCCTCCTGTCAGGGAGGCCATCCCAAGGGCTGACTGCTCACACCTGGACAGCAGTCCCTCTTCCTCCCCTCCTACCTGGTGCCTGGTGCTGTTCAGCAGCCTCAAGCACACTACCAGCTTAGCTCAGAACCAGGACCACCCCACCCGCAGGTCAGTTGCAAAGGCCTGATTACAGCCTTAAATACAGGGACTTGGGGGAGGAAGGGGCGCTGGCCAAGGTGCTGAATTAGATCCTCACTGCCCCTTAGTTCCTTACTCTGGGAATCCTGAACCACTTAAAGGAAGAGGGGTGGTGGGCAGCAGGGGAAGAAGTGGGGAGGGGGCACAGAAATAGCAGGAGAAATAAATGCTTTTATTTTGAAAAGTGTACACTTTCCTATTTTTCTTTTCTATCTTTGTGAAAATTATTTTTCGTAATTTTGCCCTAAATACAGAAGTCTTCTAGGGGTTAGGGAGATGGCTCAGTGGGTGAAGTGATTGCTGTGCAAGCATGAAGACCTGAGTTAAGATCCCCAGAATCCACATAAAAGCTGGGTTAACCACACACAACTCTAAAGCCAGCACTGGAGCGGTGGGTGGAGAAAGGCAGATCCAGGTTTAACGAGAGACCCCGTCTCCAAACACAAGATGAAGAGCAGTAGATGAAAGTACCTAAAGTATCCCTTTGGTACACACACACACACACACGCACACACGCACACACACGCACGCACGCACAGGCATGTGTATATGACACACACAGGGTCTGATTTCAATTTTTTGATAGTTCTGTCATAGTCTTATCATTGCAAAGCACTACTCCCTGCCCTAGGAGTCAGGTGAAGTAAGGCAACTGTTGATACTTTGGACCAGAGGCCTAGAGGAGCCCTACCCTGATGTCACAGCAATCATAGTCTATTATGAAGGCTGGAGACAGAGACACAAAGCCCAAGGTCATGGTGTGATTGAGTCTGAATCCTGGAGGAGCTGGGCGATCTCCTAGCCCAATCTGAAGCCCAGAGAGACAATTTATAGCTCAAGACACACAGCATGTGGCAGACCTAAGACCAGCATTCTGATGCTCTGATTCCAAGTTGGCACACAGGGGAGGGAGGAGAGCCAGCTGAGAGGGTCCCAACCCAGGCAATGCAAAGCAGCAGCAGCAAGGGCCAGTTCGACAGGGTAGGGGCAGGGCTGTGGAGAGCAGCCTCTTGTAAAGAGGCACTGAGGTAAGGGTGGGGGTGTCTATCAAAGTCCAGGACTGCAGCATCTCAAAGATAAAGAGGGACAGAGGAGGAACAGAATTGGAATGTACTCTGGGGTGAAGACTCAGCAGGGCTGGGCATATTGATCAGCCCACAGGTTCCTGGATAGAACCAGAGACCTGCCAAGAGACCACTGATCTCAGCTCCATCTTACAAATGGCAAAGACCCAGATGGGAAGACACCAGCCAAAGGGGCAGAGTCAGGTGCATCCCCAGGCCTACTGACTCTCAGCCTTTGACTCTGCTCATGCAGCCCCCACCCCTTTTGCTTCTGGTGCTTCTTCCCAGCCCCTGGAAGCCTATAGTCTGCACAGAAGCAGGACTCCCACAGCCCCAAGCACCAAGAGCCGTGTGCCCACTAGACCCAGCTGCCTATCCCTGGAAAGAACTGGTAAGTTCTAGTTCTTGTAGACCAGGCTGGCCTTGAACTCACAGAGATGCACCTGCCTCTGCCTCCTAAGTGCTGGGATTAAAGGCACGTGCCACTATGCTCGGCTTGGACCATGAATGTTTTAAGGTGGGGACCACTGTCTCCTGTACTTCTGCCTGCTGAGGGCAGAGAGGGCCTCAGAAAAAGGATGCTGGTGGATGCTACCAAAGTTGGAATCATGCAACTTCCTTGTCTCCAAGTTGGGAGTGATCTTAAGACCCAGAAATATAACCCCCAGCAGAGATGCTCAGATGGAAGCTGGGGGACCAGGAGGAGCCTCACTGGCTGCCCCCAGCCAGACTGCTCAAGGCGAACCAGCGAGAAATGACAGAGATTAAGAAAGTGGTTTGTCTGCTTTAGAAGCAAATTATAAAATAACTGATGTTCATTGTTTTAAAAGTCAGACAAATGGACAGCAGGCAAAAAGAGCGGGAGGAAACTCCTTCATCCGATGCTGAGCGGCTGCTGCTAAGGGCTGGCTTGCATCCTTCCAGGCATCTTTGCCTGTACATAAACAAAAATGCCATTTCCTCCATAAAAACATGATCATTTTTCACACACTATACCTCTTTCTATGCGTTCTGCAGAAAATTCCTTCTAATGGAATTTTCTGTGGGTCAAAAGATTCGCTTATTCCTTTCTTAAGTAAATTTTTTTTCTTTATAACATATTTGATAGAAAATTTGGAAAAAGCAATCAAAACAGTCAAAGGAAAATTCACCCATTAGCCACTGTTCAAATAGAACCACCATAGTGGTGATAAGGTTTAGTTTTTTTTTTCTAAGAGTCTATATATTTTTTAATTTTTTTTATTTATTTATTTTTATTTTATGTATATGAGTGTTATGCCTGCATGTATGTGAGTGCACCCGTGTGGTGCCTCTGGAGGACAGACAAGGGCGTCAAATCCCCCTTGAACTGGAGTTACAGATGGTTGTTAGCCACCACGAGGGCACTAGGATCCAAACCCGGGTCTTCTGCAAGAACAGCCAGTGCTCTTAACTACTGAGCCCTCTTTCCAGTCTGGCAAGTGACTATATTTTACAAAACTCTAGAGGCTGGGAAGATAGCTCAGTTGGTAAAGTGCCTCTCAAGCATGAAGACCTAAGTTCTGATCTCTAGCACCCATGTACAAAGCCTAGTGTGGAGGAGCCATCTGTAACTCCAGAACTGTGGGGGCAGAGACAGATGGATCCCTTGAGCTCACTGGCTAGTCAGCCTAGGCAATCAGTGAAACACTGTCTTAAAAAATAAAGTGGAGGAACCAGCCAGATGGCTTTATGGGTAGAGGCATATGCTACCACTCCTGATGCCCTGAGTCTGATCCCTGGAACCCACAGTATGGAAAGAGAAAACTGGTTCTCATAAGTTGTCCTCTGACCTCCACATACACACTGTAGCACTCAGGCACACACATGTGCACGTGTGCATACTCACAACCAAAATATACTCAACTTACTATTTCACAGACTGGATTCCACACACACACATTTAATAAAAAACTGTAAACATGTCCCATGACTTAAATTTTCTATAACATCAGTT